GGGCCAAGCACGCCTTTCACTCCTGAGTCCATGAAGCTCACAATGGCGACGAGCTTGTCATATATTGTCTGTATGTTGTCAAGTGGAAGGTGTTGTCCTAGAGATGAACGAGGGTCGATGAACACAGCGTACAACAGTCCGGTCAGAGATTCGAAGTCGACATTCTCTGGCGAACGTTCGTAGTAGTATTTGAGCTGCATAAGTAGCTGGACCTTGGTTTGCATGTGCTCGAGAACGAAGTTAAATAGATAGACACGAGTCGAACTTGAGCTCGTGAGGATGGAGGTGGTGATGGTCGCCTCCTGGGACGTCAGGCTTCTGACCGCCAGGAAGTCTATGACACCTACGGCTTGGGTTTTCACGTACCAGAATGCGACGGAACGTAGGACTGGCTTGTGCATATTCTTGACCAGGAGATAACGTGCCAAAGATAGGTAAACCACGTCCTTTGGGTCTACCTCGGAGTCGGAAAGAGGATGGCGTTTGAGGACTTCGAGGAGCTTGTGGCGTGGTAAATCCTGTACGATCAGGGCCAGTATGCGGAAGATATAGTTGCACAAGGTCTGGAGCCGGTTGGCTGAGCGTATCTCGACGCGTCGGTGGCTGGAAGGGGTGTGCATGACTGTGTAGTGTTTCTTCTGCCTACGGCAGGTGCAGGCAAGAGCGTCGATGACATCTGGGTGTGCTAGCGAAAACGCAAAGTTGACGATGGCGCTCGTGAAGGCAGGGTGATCTGCTGGGAGTCTTTCGACAGCGGTCTGACCTAGAGGTCCGCGGTAATGCTTTCTCAGGAACGCGTCTTCGCCGAAAACGTGGTCGAAGGATCTGCACAAGGCCTGCATGCAGAGAGGATGAGTTCCAAAAGCCGTAGGCTCCAGGGTGCGGGTGATTCTATCGAAGACCTCGACGACGTCTTCAGGAGTATGCCTGAGTCCCACCACAATGTAAGTCCCTTCCGAAGTCTTGGTGGTCATCTCGAGCTCCAGTCGACCGCGTTTCCCGTCGTCCACTGGCACCCGGTTCTGTAGTTCCATCGGCATATTCGAGTTCCGACCTGTACAAATTCAGTGCTGATCTTCAGACATACGAAGGAAGTTTGTTGTCCTAGACGACCGTGATAGGCGTCACTGAAACCTCTCCGAGTAGCGTATTTCGCCGTATGTTGAGTACTAAGAACTAGAAATTTCGGAGAGGTCAATGTGGATGATGATTGCAGCACGAAAGAGAGCGTTTCAGCCACAGGGGCGGCACGAGTGCCTTGCGGTTGCTCACAGCGCTCATGCGGGCCACCAAACGATGGGCAGCATTATTGGCTGCTGATATCCATCCCTCTTGAAACTCAGCGTCCAACCACCATGACCGTGTCCGATATTCTTGTGCTAGGCGCTACAGGTAAGTTCAACTTTGCCGGCTCAAAACTTAAGGCCAAAGACGCTGACCGCCAGTTCCAACGCGTCTCTTTACACAGGCACTACAGGGAAACTGGTCGCACGGTATCTACATGGCCATAAATCGAGATCCTCGTTTACTCTGGCCCTTGGAGCACGATCCACGAGCAAGCTGGATGCTGTATACAAGGAACTATCTCTTCCGGATACTGTGAAGAAGGTCCAGGTCGACGTGACGAACGATAAATCCATCGAGGAAGCCGTCAAGGGAGCGAGGGTGGTTATCAACACTGTGGGTGCGTCTACGTCCGAACTCACTCCCATAGCTCTATGAGATTCTGATCTTGTTCTCAGGGCCATTTTGGAGATGGGGTACACCAGTTGTCGCGTAAATAACCCCACTGCCAGCGCCGCGTTTCACTATGCTGAAATCTCACTTCCAGTGCGTGCGCAAAGAACGGCGTGCACTACGTCGACTGTACCGCTGAAGCACCATGGATCACGGAAATTATACCTCAGTACGTTTCTTCTCCAGCCACGCTATCCTTCCCCACTCTAACGCATCGTGTTTACACCAGGTTTGACTTCCTCGCCACCAAGACTGGCGCCATAATCCTCCCCGCATGTGGACTCGACTGCATTCCTTCCGACCTTGCCGTCTTCATCTCCAACCAAACGCTCAAGGCCGTCTCTTCCGACCTCGATATCGACACCTCCGTCTCTGCATACAACGTCCGGATGGGGCTGTCAGGCGGCACGGTTGCGAGTTTAGTGTCAATGACGGACGAGGTGCCGACCAGCAAATTCATCAGGGCAACGAAAGATTACATCTGCAGTCCTGGTTCGTACTCTTTCCTCCCTCGTCCAGAGGATGAATGAACTGACCCTTCTTGTGTTCGCTACAGTCACTGGCAAGGACAAATGGTCCCCAAAGATCCTTTACAGACTCCCGCGCGTGACGCCCACCGTCTGGGGTGCGGTCTGGCATATGGGTCTCTCCAACCGATCCATGATTCAGCGAACGTGGGGTCTTCACGAGCTCGCTGCGACTCAGGAAGCTGGCGAAGAAGGGAAGAAGCTACGGTATGGGCCCGAGTTCAAGTACGACGAATTCCACATCAAGGCGAATCCAATTACGGCGATTTTGTTCACGCTGGGATTCGCGGTCGGCTTCGGGTTCATTGCTTTGCTCAAACCGGTGCGCTGCTTTGACGACGCTCTGACGCTGCGCACTGTTTCCTGACTTTCAGTTCTCAGGTTCGTTGGCTGCTGAGAACGTTCGGAGAGAGCATGGCAGGACCGTCTGAAGAGTACGTCGCCTTTACCTGTGGGACGATTGTATACTGACTGACGTTGTTTCATCAACAGGACAATGAGGAAAGGCCTTCTAGAGGTTACCAACATCACCACCTCGGTCGCCACGCCATCTCAGCCTGCCGTACACGTCCGCACCTTCCTTAGAGGTAAAGGAGACCCAGGCTTCCTTGTCACCTCTGGTAAGCATACTCCGTCATCACCCCTGCGCTTCTTCTCGCTCACATATTCGCGTGATACGCAGTGTTGCTATCCGAGACGGCGTTGACTGTGGCCCTCGACGAGAAGAAGCTGCCCGCGTTGGGGCGTAAAGGTGGCATTCTTACTACCGCTTCGGCATGTGGCCAGCTGCTGGTCGACAGGCTGAAGGATAGCGGGTGGTTTGATATCGAATCGAGGGTTCTTGAGGAGGGAGAGGACGGCAGGAGTTGAGCCTCAATGATCTCAGCTCAGCTGTAAACAATCTAGACGATCCACTTTAGACACATATCCCGGTGTACGCGCCTCAGTACGACTTATACTATGCTGACCTTGTGAATATAGTTTGCAGAGAACCTACACTTTGTGCTATGTGGTTGCTATGCAGTGAACTAATCCGGCGTCGTCTGCTGTGGCGCCGGGACATCCGTTCCTTTCCTTACGCCATCATCATCACCTCAACCTCTTGTGACTCTCAACGCCTCCATCCCTCTCAGCAACCCAACGTCATTCATTTATCAGCATTCAGGCCGATGAAGCATTGCCAAGTAGTCCACTATCAACGTGCGAGGTTCAGCAGGGTCCAACCAGACTTCCTCCAGCTGCGCTCGGGACGAACGTGTGTGCCAGGGTAGTCATCATGAAGTCGCGACACCGACCTTGTATAATCTGTCACTGGCAGAGAGACATCTGGCGACATGATACTAGAGATTTGGCGACATCTAGTGACGGAAGGGAGCATTGGGGGAGGATTCTTGAGCTTGGTGGTGTGCAGCGTGTATCCATATAAGAACATTGTGCACTGCGTCGCCCTGGTATCTCGTTAGGCGATCCTCAGCAGCTCACTACGCCCAATCTCTTGAGATTCGACGCCTAACGTTAATCTCAGCTACGCGACGAACACGATGCTGTGCTTTACCTCCGTTGCGCTGCGTGCTCTCCTTCTAGCTAGTGCGTTGAGGATTCCCACCCAAAGACCTGAAGATCTTGCCCCTGACAGTGACTACAGGTTCAGCGCTAGCGAAATACCACTGATCCTCAGCTGGCAGCGAAGAGCCTTGGTGAAGACAACCTTCCCGCAGCGTGCCAAAGCTGTTCAACTGGGTTGAACCTTATGCTCCTTGCACATGACTTTTTCACTTTGAACCTGGCCTGGTGTGCGACTTCCGATTCGACCTGATTTGTGGGACTAGGGAGGTGACTGCATGACCGAAGCCTCCTGTATCTGCGCGAATGCCGCCTTGAACAGCCTTGCGATTTGTGAGGAGTGTCTGTTTGCTAGTGCTGAGGCGCCCGAGGGAGCCACGATTGAGGAGAGCCAGACTGCTCTAAATGGTAAGTCGCAGAACATGGTCGGGCAAGTCAAGGGATTCAGATACTGACGGATGGCGTGCGAGCAGCCCTTGGTGTCTTTTGCGAGGAGAGCGGAGACAAGATCCGCGTTCCAATAATCGAGGTCGAGCTCGAGGGCGAGCTCGAGGGACAGGATGGAGAAGGAGGTGCCGATGAGTCTCGTGGGGACGTGTAGCCCGGTACTGCCCCTGAACACAATGGAGAAGCTGAAGGAGATAGCGACGCCGGAAGTGCGACTGACGGCGATGAGGGAGATGCCGCGACGCTGAGTTGGGGAGCCTTACCTATGCTCCCCATCTTGACGGTGGTCATGATCTCGCTTCTTTGATTGCGAGGACCTGCCACTCTCTCGTTTCCTCAGCAGTAGCGGTACTAGTACTTCAACGTTAACGTCCCATCTATATCCAGACTCATGCCGACCAATAATGTCAGGTAAACCGCGTGCGTGCCGCTGTGGCAGAAGCCCAACGTGTATTCGCGTATGACCGTGATTTTTCGAGTTCGTGCAAGCCCAGCGCAGCATCATAAACATCTATTATCTTTGACAGCCCGTTGTAGAGCACGAAGCTACATGTGTGTATCGATAGATCAGTGACATTTGGTTGGTCAAGCAGTGGCTAATAAAAGTCTCAGTGCATAGGTAGACGGCGTCGATGCTGGGTCGATTCAACTTCCTAAACTCGGAGCAGCGAGCGAGCGAGGGCCAGCCGGTTACATTATGGATTAAAGCTACCAAACCTCTTCATCGTTTTCATGGCGTAGTTGGTTATCGCATCCGTCTAACATCTGGTTCGTCCATGATGAATTGTGTGCACGGAAGGTCCTCAGTTCGAGCCTGGGTGAAAACATACGTGGGCAAATGCTTCTACGATTATTTTCGTCCATCTTGTCTGCATCATCGATGCAGTTTTCGACGTTTCAACGTTTTGATGCATATGTACTTCATAGTACATACTTAATACTGTTTCTATCATTTTTACCACAGTAAGTAACGACTCATTCCATAACAATCTCGATCGCGTCCAGTGCTCCCGCTGCCACTGCGGAGTCCACAGAAATTGGAGGGGCCCATGGCCATTCGAAACCATCTTGCAGCTCAACATAGGAAGGAAATTGAGAATGGGCAGTCACAGCACCGAGAACTCAACCTGACCTGAATAAATCACTAGGTGCGATACGACAGACTATCGGGAAGGTATGATACGATACGGTTCAAGCTTGGAATAACACAACGGGATGGGATGCATAGAGGGATGAAGCAAGGACCGGCTTGCGTAACAAGATGATGAGGAAGGGAAAGAGAGATTGCAAGGAGAGATTTGCGAAAACAGAGCAACGAACAAGACGAGATGAGAGCAGGAACATAAACACGGCAAGACTAGGGGCCTTGCTTCTCCAAAAGCATAGCGATAGGCATAACCATAAGAACCACTGCTCATTCCGAGCAGTAGCAAAACACCCCTTCCCGAGCCCGACGAGAGGGCAAACACAGGAAGACCCTACATCATCCCCCTAATCTCATCCTTCACCCCCTTACACCCCCTCATCTCCTCCATCACCCTCTCCACCACCCTCACCGCCCTCTCCACCTGCGGCATCCCCTTCCCTCCCCCTCCTACCCCTCCCGAAGTGCCAATACTACCACCACCGGCGCCAGTTCCAATGCCACCGGCGCCCGTCATACACAACGCCCTCACCGCCCGCAGATCTTTCAACATATCCTGCAGCACCCGCTCGCTCTCGTCGAACGCAGAGTCGATCTTGAAGTATATCCCTAAGACTGTATTATTCCCCCCACCTTCCCCTCCTTTTCCCCCGCCACCACCATTTCCCCCACCCGAATGCGGTGGGTACTGATTCACCAGCCCAGGCGAAGGAATAGGCGAGTGGTGGTGGTGTGGGACGAAGGGTGATGCGGGGCGGTGTGATGAGGCGCGGGGTGAAAGGTGGGAGGAGGGGAGGTCTTGTCGGGGTTTTTTCTAAGAGACGTGTGTTAGTCAACGTGTATTATAAGCATGGGTTGGATAGGCAAGTGGAGGGATGGACGGGAGGAAGGGCCAGGTACAACTGTTAATCAACACCACTTCTTCCCTCCCCTCGAAAGGAGGTAGGAAGCAAGCAGCTCAGCCAGGATCAATTGAGTGTTTATAACTCAATCGCATCATCCCCATCCCCCGTCCAGATTCACGGATAAAACTCGCCCAATCTAGAAGAATTGGAACGAGATAAGGTTAGATGAAAGATGCTCACATTCGCACTAACCGGACTCCCCCCTCCCCCTCCTCCCACAGACCCAATCTCATCCACCTCGTCCTCCCCATCCGACATCATCGCCTCCCGCCGCCTCTTCCCACTCCCTCTTCCCTCGATTCCGCTCCCCCTTCCCTCTCCACCACTTCCCCCACTATTATTCCCATTCGCCCCTCCGCCAATGTCATTCGAACTCCCGGCCCATTCTCTGGAATCACGCCGATACCGACTCGGCCCGGACATGGGGGGAAAGGCTGACGCGGATGCAGGTGGGAATGCCGATGCGGACGATGAGGCAGGTGGAAGTGCGGACGTGGAAGGAGGAAACGCTGATGCTGAGGCAGGTGGGAATGCTGATGCAGACGTGTTAGGATGGAGAGAGGATGCCTCAGCGAGGACCGCGATGCCAGGCGCTGCTTCTGACGATGTGGACGCGTGCATGGAGTGGCGGACGGGGGAGACGTGTGGGGTTGGGATGAGGGGGGGTGGGGAGCGGCGTGGGGGACCTGCGGTGATGTATCAGTCAGTACGCGAGACTTGGCAATTCGAGCGGTGGAATGGGCAGAGAGGAAAATGGGGTGGGGTGGAGGGTGGAGAGGAAGAGGGCAAGGGAAAGGAAACGCACCCTCATAGAGAATATCAAACTGCTGCGCCGTGATCCCATTCCGCATACACGCGCGCTTTCCACGCGCACAGAGCTCGCACCGCTTCGCGCCCTTCGTCCCCGTGCATGCGCGATTTCGGGCAGAGCAGTTGTCGCATGCTGATTCGAATGTCTGCGCCGTTATATTGGTAAGTTGCGTTGTCAGCAGTGAGGGCGGGAGGGCGAAAGATGATGATGGGCGGAAGGAGGGAGTGATGATAATGGGCGGCGAAGCGGGACTCACGAGCGTCTTCCCATCCCCATTCGCAATCAACCTAATCGTCGGTACACCCGACCCCGACCCCCCTGCCTGTACCGGTGACGGCACCACCGAGTTTCCCCCGTTCCCATTCCCTCCCCCGTACGACCCCGTGCGCATATGACTACTCCCCATGCCTAAACTCCTGCTGTGTCCTTGCCCAACGGCACCATAGAGCGAATGATGCACAGGCGATGCTCGCCCTCCGTACGCCACTGCGTAATTCAGCGTTGCTATCCCCGGTGCAACGGCGGGGGGAGGGCTGGGCGGCGGGATAGATAGGGCGGAGGATCCTTCGGACATGGGACTATGACTTCTCTCCCTCTCCCTTTCCCGTTCTCGAGAAAGAGTATGATCGCGGTTCAAATCATGGCGCTCCCTATCCTTCGACTTCGATCGACTGCGGCTCCTGCTATGTCCTCTACTCCTGCTCCTACTCCTACCCCTACCCCTACTCCTACTTCGACTGCGGCTGAGACTTCGACTATGATGTTGATGATGGGACTGGTGCGAGTGCGAATCTCCCTCCTCGTCTTCGAGGGTCCGCATGATGCGGTCTTCGGTTGTTGGGCTTGGACTGCGGCTGTTCATGGCAGGGGTGGTAGCGTGACGGCCCTTCAAGAGGTGATGAATGGTGGCGTTCGTTTGACGACGGGTATCTCGTTGGGCTGGTGAGAATCGAGTGTGGTGCTTGGTGGTGAGGGTAAGGTGGAAGATGGCGGTGCTGATAATTCCGCTGCTAAGTAATCTCGACGGCGTGGTGTCCTTGCGTGTAGAGTATGTACTCTGGACTGCTAGGTGATGTGGTAGGAGGGAGGTGCGCAGGCGTGGGTACGGATGCGATGCGGGCGTGGTGGTTGGAGTGTAAAGAGTGGAACAGAGGCGGTGCGGAAACACACAACACACACGCACACACACGGTGACAGTTTGCTAAGCGTGTGTACTGCTGACTCACCTTACTCACGGACGGACGGGGGCACGGACGAAGAGAGATGCCGCGCGCCGAGCCTCGGCGGCGCAGCGTGCCATGATCGGGCGATAGCAGGTCAGTTCAGTCAGAGTTACTGACTTTACTTTATTTACTTTACTCTACTTGGACGCGCTGGAAGAGCTAGGGCTGTGTATTGTGCGATGTTGTGTTCATTGGCTGCGGTCCACGGCAGGTGTGTGTATTGCTTTTGCAGTGGGCAAAGAGCAGCAGGAGGACGCAAGGCCAGCAAGGCGGAAACAGCGCGGTCGCACCGATTCAGAGTCAAAGCCCTGCTGCGTCATCCACCAACCTGCCAGCTCCCATCCGGACCCATCGCATCGCCCGCTCAGATTTCTATCGCCATCGCCGGATAATCACCCATCCATCCTTGCTGCGGCAGCAGGCGTCGAAATGCCGTGATCATCACCACGCAACGCGCGTGCGTGCGTTCTAGTTCCTCGACCTTCTTCCGTTTCATCAGTCAGTCCTTCCCGGAAGAGCGCTGTAACAGCGATGGATGACGCGACAAGTCTTACCACAAGCAGCGTTCTCTTCCCATGCCTACGATATATACCCTGCCCACGTAGCTCTCGTTCGTCCAGTACTGACTCGGCTGCGGTCTCGCTCACATCGGCAGCGCCCATGACGTTCCGGCCGCGGTCGGCATCCTTCTCCTCGGCTCTAGACGGCGCAAAGACGCCGTTCCTCGCAGGCGCTTTGACCGTGATGACGGTGGGAAAAATTAGCCGCATTCGGTGCCTGAATGGGCGCGGCGTCCGTCCCTCAATTGAATTTACCCTTCGAATCAGTGCGCAGGCAGCGGCGATTCAGACTGGGCCGCGTACGTACAGTACAACACTCTCAGCACCGGTGGCCATCTCATCTCCCAACGTCGACGTGGACAGGTGCTGTGGAGTATGCTAACGCCACCAGACAGACGGGACGCCGCGGGAGCATCACTTTAACCGCACGTACTCGACGCCCTGTCGACGCCGTTCCTGAGGCTGAGTTCTGTACTTACTCACTTACCGGGTTCTAGCCCGTGAACACTATCACCATGACAATACCGCGGCGTCTGCGGGTGGTTCGCAAGCTGCTGCACTATATGTACGGCGTAGTGCAGTACGTACGCGTGCACTCAGAAGAAGTCTTTGAGTATAACTCATAGAGCCATCGCGAGGCATTTCTTCGTAATCCATGTGTCTAAAATGCGCACCGGTACCTGGGCCAGCGTTCCAGAAATTGCACAATCGAAACTCTGCACTGCGCGATCCTATTCGAGACACAGGAAACTGCGAGGAATCTGGACAGCGCTGGGAAACATCTCATTTCGGCGGCAGGCTTCAGAACAAAAAGTCTGATCAACTCCCAATTCCAACAGAAAAGGAACAAAGAGACAGAATGCCACCTTTTGTTTTCACCCAGGCTCGAACTGAGGACCTTCCGTGCACAACTCGCTTCCCAACAGAGATTGTTAGACGGATGCGATAACCAACTACGCCATGAAAACTTGTAAAGAAGCGGGGTCGTAAAAGACGTGAATGTTGGAGCAGGGGGACAGTTGCTCTCTTGCGCTGATCCGACACTTTTCGAGCTCGTCGCCTTCACACAACGCTGACGGGCTAGCTACGCCAATCAAACGAGCTGTACGTTTTCCGAACATTTAGAGCCCATCCTCACGACCATGGCATTATGACGGCGTACATGTACACGAGAGAGTCGTCAAGACTGAAGCTAGGGCTCCAACTATTTTGTGTGTTTACTGTATATAAAAGTTATAACCGTATACTGTTTATGTGTATTTAGGGGGTGTAGTGCAATCGATTATAAACTGTTTAACACAGTATAATCAGTTTCGCTGTCTCAAGCGTAGCAGGCACTGTGGGCATCGAGGGGCAAGTAGATTGTATGGGGAGGATAGCAAGCGCATATAAGGGCACAGCGGGCCGGCTCGAGTGCGTACTACTAACAATCTTTGACTTAACTCAGGTTGGACGCTGGGAGCACTTTCGATGCTTGTGCCCTATGAAGTATCAAGACCCGCAGTAGGAACCGTGTTTAATGACCAATATTACCGTCAGCAACTAGCTATATGTACGAGAGGAAGCCTGTAACTAAGATAGAGTCCAAGGGTGTCGAGTTAGTAGTGATAGCAGATCTAGGGAGCACCTCTCGCAAAACCTTGTCTAGCTCAACGACGGCGACGGCGCGCTCAGCACCACAAGACGTACCGTCTCCTGGATTGCTATTAACCTAGGAATCAAGCCTAAGTTGACCAGAATCGGCCCAGGGACCGAGGAGTCAGCGATGTTACAAAATGATAGGTCTGATTAACACTGACCTCAAAATGTCGTACAGATCAACGACGACGGCGACGCGTCCAAATCGGCGAGACATATCGTCTTCTAGGGTGTTAATAACCTAGGAAACAAGCTAGAATAGGCCACAATCGTCCCAAGGGGCGACGAGTTGGTGAGGGAGTAATATGGCAGGTATAAGAGACATTTACCTCAATAACTCGCTCAGCTCAGCGACGACGACGACTTGCTCAAAATCGTACTATGTGTGGCCTTATCGGGTACTAAAAACCTATAAATCAAACCTGGATTGGCCATAATTGGTCTAGGGACCGAGCAGTTAGTAATTTCGCACATTCTGAGGTATGAGGTACACATACCTTTGACAGTTATCTTGTTCGATGACGGCGACAACGCACTCAAAACCACGAGACGAGACGTCTTTTAGAGTCCTAATAGCATAGGAAATTGGCCCAGGCCCAGCGTAGATGAGTCCGAAGACGAGGAATGAGGAACACCTGGAGGTGTACACCAAGAGCCAGTGATGGCAAGAGGTAGAGGCAGGACCGAATCGTCACGCTCGACTGAGGCCCCGATTCCTTCATTTCTGTTATGATTGGAATATGACCGAGTCCTGTAAGCATTGCTATGGCCTGCGCTGGTCTGTGTGGTGATGGTGGTCGCAGTTGAAGAAGCCTGGGGAGAAGAGCAATGAACGGAAGCAAATTGTGAGATAGTGACACACAGCCAAGCGAGAAACGAAATCGACGCACATCCTGTCTTCAACATCGATCTCTGCAGCCTCCCACACATATCTCCAGCTCACCCATATCACTATCCATGCCCAACCAAGACAAACAGCTGTCACAGACTCTCGTCGACCAACTCTCGATATGGAGCCGTAAACTGCCATCATCAGTCCCACTGGGCACCAAAACGGATAAGCCATATGACACCATGACACGCGTTGAGGGGGAAACATCATGGGAGACGTTCAACACGCGATTCGACATACTCTTCAAAGAGGACAACGTCTGTCGCGACGCAGATGGGCGGCTGCATCACGCACGGCGTGCGTGAAGCTTCTTCGTCTTCCGCAAGTGGCTTTCTTACTGGGATTGCGCTGTATCTGATGACGAGGATGTTGATGTTTAACCTCAACGTCATGAAGTCGATCGTTGGTTTGCAGGTGATGGTGGTAGTGTTGATCTCGATTACCCACTTGACTGGTACAAGACGGTCAGTCCGTACTTGTATGTTGTGGATGCTAAATCTCATTTCAAGTCTAGTGTCCCCCCGACGACTTCCTTATCATCTCCAAAATGGCACGCGACTTTCTTGCTATCCCTGCAACATCTGTTTCCGTCGAGCGATTGTTTTCTGGGTCACGCCAGGTGTGCGCAGATCTGCGCTCATCATTCAAGGCGGATACAATTTCTCAGCTCATGTGTGGCCGCCAGTGGATCAAGGAGGGTCTTCTGAAGCTGGACTACCGCTTGAGCCGCACAGGGCTGTCTAAAGAAGTCATTTTAATGACTGATTAAACTGACTACATACCGTGTACATACTAATTATATACTGTATACTGATTTAGATACTCTGTCTCTGTTAACATAATCTAAATAGTTGGAGCCCTAACTGAAGCAGGACTCACCGGTGTTCTGGTTAAATTTCAATGGGAGACACGAGAGGCATCCAATGCTCGTTCACCTCTCGGCGGGTATACCAATCCTTTCAGTAGTGTCGGTTAGCTCAAGTCAGACTCGTCACGATAAACGCAAGATGAACTTGGAACACGGGTTTCCGCAGCAAGTGGCTATACATGACGGGGCCAGACCTAAGTTGCACTCGTCGAGGTTTAAAATTTCAACGGCGCCGCATCTGACGGAGGCTCGAAGGTATGGCGGAAGCGGCTTGGCTCAATTGTGGATCCAATATCTTCGGGGATGGTAACTTTCACGCGTTGCAGGAGAACCGAATCAGTGGTTGTAACGACGGATCGTACAACTTGGACTCCGCAGGTGCCCAGACTCGATGTGTGTGTTGTGTAAATGCTGTACTACTCCCGGATGTCACTCGTATTTCGTTAACGTTCCTGGAGTCTCCGCGCCCTCTTACATAGTGACTCGGAGAAGAATCCTCATGTGCAAGAAAGCATCGAGTTTTGAAGTATTGTGAAGGCGCCCGGCCCACCTTGGAGATACTATAGTTTCTCGCCCATTGTCAGGCCTCTCGCCGAACCCTGTACCACTTGAAGCCTATCCAATGCATATGCCTATCATTGATACTACGATATTAATCATCTCGGACGCCAACTCCAGGTATGGCAGTGGTCCAAAACGACTCAAATGACCTGCCTCCAATGCGGCAAACGCACGTAAGAACGATGCTGTTGCAGTCATCTCCGATACGTGTTGACGACGTGCCAGTACATTGACTCTGCCTAGAGTCTATAAAGGCGTAGGAGCTCTTCACGGTTTATCACTCCTCACAACAGCTCAGCTCCTCACAATAGCACACAATAACCACATTGAACACCGAGCATCACTCAATCAACCTAACTTCTACCCACCTCAGTATCTCTCCAATGCTTTTCCCCAACTCCAACCTTCTCGCAATGATCATCAGCACATTCTGGACAACCTCAATGGCGCAAGCCTTTGAAACCTTCCTCTACAATACCCTCGACTGCAGTGGCGAGAGCACGAGAAACGTAACACACGAAACCGACGCGTTAGACTAGCGGGCCACGGTCCCGGACGAGGCTGCGCTTCGATCCTTGGTTTTTTTTCCCATTCAACACAAAAATCGTTCGTGGCAGTGGCCAGATGCTTAAGGTTCGACACTGAGTTTCCCGCCGAATGCACGCTTCGATTCTGTCATCCCAAGCCTGCCAATTGCGAGGAGACGGGAGGAACTGTGACAGGTCCTCGAAATGCAGGGGATACCGCAGGGAAAAAGGGGGCTTCTCTGGATACACCGTTAGATGTGAGTGAGATTAGTGAGGCTGTGTGTTTTCTGTTCTTGACCTTCACTTCTTCATCTAGGTGGGAAAGCCAACGACGGGCACAGTCATGCGCTTGGCGCGATATTTGGAGAGAGGGTGCTTTTGTCTTGGCTTCTACGTTTGGTACTTACATGATGAGCGATATTTTCTGTAGTCTGCTGGCCAGAGAACCTTCTGTGAGAGCTATGTAGCCTGCCATTTTCCGTGGTCAGAGGTCAGCGACTGTATACGTAGAATGAGATTGATGTGCTTTATTATACCATGAGCCAATAATAATAATCACGTACGCAGGGAATGGGCGTACTCCAGACTCCAGTTCACTCAGCGAACTCCTATCATCGGAGTGTCGAAGACATGTTTGTGGCGCTGGATTTCAGCCAGCTTATCATGCATAATCGGTAGCCTCTCGATAGACAGAAACGTGCAGCTGGACTATCGAAGATGGAAGATGTTAATGATCCTGCGCTGGGGTTGCACGAAGTTGAAAGATCATGGCTATACTGATACACCGTGAATGCAGGCCGGGCTTTTTAGGGCTTGTGCTACAGCATGCGTGCGGTCACCTTACCTCCAACTCCCATCATGCGCCGCAGGGCAATGGCAATGTTATCCCAGACCAGATCCGTCCACATAACCCACGCCCGTATCCGTTTTCAGGCTCACGTAGAGTCACAATGGGCCTTCGAGCTGCCTGAGGCCTGCGTGATGGAGCATTAGACTCTTTCCCTGCGCAATGCCGGGAACAGTCAACCCATCTCAATCTGATGATGGAGGCCATCTGCCAACTCATTCATCTGCACAGCAACCCTAGATGCGATACCTTCTTCCGAAAGTTCTCCGCCGGGCACCTATTATTCATGTTCAAGACTGAGTACTAAACGTCGCTACTCTCCCTCCAGCCACCATGTTCATCAACCCGTATGGGTCCTCTCGGTCTCGCTGTCTTCAGATCCCTCGGACCGTGATGTTTCTGGCCGCAATGCAGCTAATCGGTTACATTCCTCGAGTCTATGGTATAGATGGACTGCAGAGCTGTGCTGATGATGCACTTAACTGGTACACCGAACCTATGAAGGAGACACCATGTTCGTTTCTTTCTGGAAGCTCACACAGCTGAGGTCCTGCTCACACCCACCCGGATGGAACAGGTTTCACTTACCAGAAATTACGACGGCTTTGCAACCAATCTTGTGAGCTTGGTGTTTT